AAACCCAGAAGAAAACTTGGGCTTGCGTACCAGGGAGAAAAGAAGATCCCGGGCATTGCTGCGTACCAGAAACCTTGGGAAAAGAAGATCCCGGGCATTGCTGCGTACCAGAAACCTTGGGAAAGAAGATCCCGGGGCAATTGCTGCGTACCAGGAACCTTGGGAAAAGAAGATCCCGGGGCATTGCTGCGTACCAGAACCTTGGGAAAACAAGATCCGGGCATTGCTGCGTACCAGAAACCTTGGGGAGAAGAAGATCCCGGGACATTGCTGAGTACCAGAAACCTCGGGAAAAAAATCCAGGCATTGCTGCGTACCAGAAACCTGGGAGAAACGAAGATCCCGGGCATTGCTGCGTACCAGAAACCTCGGGAGAAAAGAAGATCCGGGCATTGCTGAGTACCAGAAACCTTGGGAGAACAGAGATCCCGGGCATTGCTGAGTACCAGGAAACCTTGGGGAAAGCAAGATCCCGGGCATTGCTGAGTACCAGAAACCTCTGGAGAACAAGATCCCGGGCATTGCTGCGTACCAGAAACCTGGGAAAACAAGATCCCGGGCATTGCTGCGTACCAGGAACCTTGGGAGAACAAGATCCCGGGGGCATTGCAGTTGAGCGCGTACCAGGAACCTTGGGAGAACAAGATCCCGGGCATTGCTGAGTACCAGGAAAACCTCGGGAGAACAAGATCCCGGGCATTGCTGCGTACCAGGAAACCTGGGAGGGAGAACAAGATCCCGGGCATTGCTGCGTACCAGGAACCTTGGGGGAGAGGATGATCCCCACTGCGTACCAGCCTCGGGGAGAACAAGATTTTTGATGGCATTTCAGAGTACCAGGACCTTGGTGGGGAGAACAACGTGAAACCATCATTAAGGAGTACCAGAAACTCGGGAGAAGTAGGAATATTAGCTAACTCCACCCCCCAGGCTTTTTTTCATCGGGAGAATAAAGATCCCGGGCATTGGGGCATAAGATGGTGCCATTTCTGCTTCATAGAGCCAGATACGGGCATTGTAGGAGTACCCAGGAATGGGCAAGAGTCACATTTGTATCCCGGGCTTCTGTTTGTTACCAGGAACTCGTCAGTAAAAAACCCAAGATCCCGGGCATTTGCTGTTACCAGGAACCTTGTATCGTGAATAATATCGTAGTTTTGTCCTTTTCCTTCTGCTGACCCTAACGGTCTGATGTGAACAAGGTTTTCTAAGGTTGTTTTTATGCATAAAATAACGGGGGAACAAACTGGAAAAATTGTTGGATAGAACCTTGTGAGAACAAGAAAAAGGTCACAAAACAATGGAAACTACATGATCCGCGGGTAGAGAGCGAGGAAACAGAATCCAGGAGGGTCTGTTCCCCCCCCCTATGGAACCTTTGTTTTCTTACAATATCCCGGGCTCTTTATTCTCTGCAATAAGGAACCGGGAGAAACGATGCCGGGAAGCAGATGTGGTCACCACACATGGACAGTACAGACCAAGTAGTTGGAGCAACAGCCCAAATACAAAACTACAAGAATCCATTCATCACCAAATGAGGATCCAGGAGAAGAGGAGGGAATAAAAACACCAGAAAAAAGATGCACCTCAAATATGGAGGTTTGGGTGAAGGTCAGAATTGGTGCCCAGTTGGCGCTATAGAACCAGGGGCCATCCCTCAATATGGAGGTTTTGGTGAAGGTCAGAATTGGGGCCCAGTTGGCAGTTTTTCTATGGAACAGTCAGGGGCCGTCTTTCAAATATGGACGTTTTGAGGTGAAGGTCAGAATTGGGCCCAGTTGGCAGTTGGCGCTATAGCTTTTGCCGTCCCTCAAATCTGGCAAAAGTTTTTGTCATCACTTTCTTCAATTGAGTTTTTGCGGGTGAAGGTCAGAAATGGGCCCAAAAAGTTGGCTCTATAGAACCAGATGGGCCGTCCCTCAAATATGGAGGTTTTGGGGTGAAGGTCAGAATTGGGCCCAGTTGGCAAGTTGGCAACTATAGAACCAGGGCCATCCCTCAAATATGGAGGTTTTGGGTGAAGGTCAGAATTGGGGCCAGATTGGCAGTTGGTCTATAGAATCCCAGGGGCCGTCCCTCAAATATGGAGGTTTTGGGTGAAGGTCAGAATTGGGCCCAGTTGGCAGTTGGCTCTATATAGAACCAGGGGCCGTCCCTCAAATATGGAGGTTTTGGGTGAAGGTCAGAATTGGGCCCAGTTGGCAGTTGGCTCTATGGAACCAGGGGGCCGTCCCTCAAATATGGAGGGTTTTGGGTGAAGGTCAGAATTGGGCCCAGTTGGCAGTTGGCTCTATAGAACCAGGGGGCCCCCCTCAAATATGGAGGTTTTGGGTGAAGGTCAGAATTGGGCCCAGTTGGCAGTTGGCTCTATAGAACCAGGGGCCGTCCCTCAAATATGGAGGTTTTGGGTGAAGGTCAGAATTGGGCCCAGTTGGCAGTTGGCACTATAGAACCAGGGGCCATCCCTCAAATATGGAGGTTTTGGGTGAAGGTCAGAATTGGGCCCAGTTGGCAGTTGGCTCTATAGAACCAGGGGCCGTCCCTCAAATATGGAGGTTTTGGGTGAAGGTCAGAATTGGGCCCAGTTGGCAGTTGGCTCTATAGAACCAGGGGCCGTCCCTCAAATATGGAGGTTTTGGGTGAAGGTCAGAATTGGGCCCAGTTGGCAGTTGGCTCTATGGAACCAGGGGCCGTCCCTCAAATATGGAGGTTTTTTGGGTGAAGGTCAGAATTGGGCCCAGTTTGGCAGTTGGCTCTATGGAACCAGGGGCCGTCCCTCAAATATGGAGGTTTTGGGTGAAGGTCAGAATTGGGCCCAGTTGGCAGTTGGCTCTATAGAACCAGGGGCCGTCCCTCAAATATGGAGGTTTTTGGGTGAAGGTCAGAATTGGGCCCAGTTGGCAGTTGGTGCGATAGAACCAGGGGGCCGTCCCTCAAATATGGAGGTTTTGGGTGAAGGTCAGAATTGGGCCCAGTTGGCAGTTGGCTCTATAGAACCAGGGCCGTCCCTCAAATATGGAGGTTTTGGGTGAAGGTCAGAATTGGGCCCAGTTGGCAGTTGGCTCATATAGGAACCAGGGGGCCGTCCCTCAAATATGGAGGTTTTGGGTGAAGGTCAGAATTGGGCCCAGTTGGCAGTTGCACTCTATAGAACCAGGGGCCATCCCTCAAATATAGGAGGTTTTGGGTGAAGGTCAGAATTGGGCCCAGTTAGGCAGTTGGCTCTATAGAACCAGGGGCCCGTCCCTCAAATATGGAGGTTTTGGGTGAAGGTCAGAATTGGGCCCAGTTGGCAGTTGGCTCTATGGAACCAGGGGCCGTCCCTCAAATATGGAGGTTTTGGGTGAAGGTCAGAATTGGGCCCAGTTGGCAGTTGGCTCTATGGAACCAGGGGCCGTCCCTCAAATATGGAGGTTTTGGGTGAAGGTCAGAATTGGGCCCAGTTGGCAGTTGGCTCTATGGAACCAGGGGGCCGTCCCTCAAATATGGAGGTTTTGGGGGTGAAGGTCAGAATTGGGCCCAGTTGGCAGTTGGCTCTATAGAACCCAGGGGCCGTCCTCAAATATGGAGGTTTTGGGTGAAGGTCAGAATTGGGGGCCCCCAGTTGGCAGTTGGTGCGATAGAACCAGGGGCTGTCCTCAAATATGGAGGTTTTGGGTGAAGGTCAGAATTGGGCCCAGTTGGCAGTTGGCTCTATAGAACCAGGGGCCGTCCCTCAAATATGGAGGTTTTGGGTGAAGGTCAGAATTGGGCCCAGTTGCAGTGGTGCTCGATATGGAGAACGAATTGGGCCCAGTTGCAGGGGCCGTCCCTCAAATATGGAGGTTTTGGGTGAAGGTCAGAATTGGGCCCAGTTGGCAGTTGGCTCTATATGGAACCAGGGGGCCGTCCCTCAAATATGGAGGTTTTGGGTGAAGGTCAGAATTGGCCCAGTTGGCAGTTGGCTCTATGGAACCAGCGGGGGCCCGTCCCTCAAATATGGAGGTTTTGGGTGAAGGTCAGAATTGGGCCCAGTTGGCAGTTGGCTCTATAGAACCAGGGCCGTCCCTCAAATATGGAGGTTTTGGGTGAAGGTCAGAATTGGGCCCAGTTGGCAGTTGGTGCGATAGAACCAGTTGGGCCGTCCCTCAAATATGGAGGTTTTGGGTGAAGGTCAGAATTGGCCCAGTTGGCAGTTGGCTCTATAGAACCAGGGGCCGTCCCTCAAATATGGAGGTTTTGGTGAAGGTCAGAATTGGGCCCAGTTGGCAGTTGGCTCTATGGAACCAGGGGCCGTCCCTCAAATATTGGAGGTTTTGGGTGAAAGGTCAGAATTGGGCCCAGTTGGCAGCAGTTGGCTCTCTATAGAACCAGGGGCCGTCCCTCAAATATGGAGGTAGTTTTGGTGAAGGTCAGAATTGGGCCCCCATTTGGCAGTTGGTGCGATAGAACCAGGGGCTGTCCCTCAAAATATGGAGGTTTTGGGTGAAGGTCAGAATTGGGCCCAGTTGGCAGTTGGCTCTATAGAACCAGGGGCCGTCCCTCAAAATATGAGGGTTTTGGGTGAAGGTCAGAATTGGCCCAGTTGGCAGTTGGTGCGATAGAACCAGGGGCCGTACCCCTCAAATATGGAGGTTTTGGGTGAAGGTCAGAATTGGGCCCCAGTTGGCAGTTGGCTCTATGGAACCAGGGGCCGTCCCTCAAATATGGAGGTTTTGGGTGAAGGTCAGAATTGGGCCCAGTGGCAGTTGGCTCTATAGAACCCAGGGGGCCGTCCCTCAAATATGGAGGATTTGGGTGGCAGTCCCTTCCATCATCTCCCCTCCCCTGTCCCTTCCATCATGTCTTCCCTCCCCTCCCTTCCACCATCTCCCCTCCCCCATCCTTCCATCATCTCCCCCCCATCTCTTCCATCATCTCCCTCCACCAATCTATTTTGTCCTTCTTCTGAACCCAAACTGATCAGAGATCTGGGGTGTGGCTACACTCATGTTATAGAAACTAATAACACCTCCAAGTCCAGGGAGATCACCATACAAAGACTGAGAATGACACCCGGCATCCGGGGACAGGAGGAGTGGGACTGTGCAGAGTCCATACATACAGAATAAGAGGAGATACCGAGAATGACACCCGGGCATCCAGGACAGGAGAAATGGGACTGTGTAGAGTCCATACATACAGAATAGGGACAGATACCGAGAATGACACCCGGCCATCCAGGACAGGAGAAGTGGGAACTGTGCAGAGTCCATACATACAGAATGGGGACAGATACCGAGAATGACACTGGCATCCGGGACAGGAAAGTGGGACTATGCAGAGTCCATACATACAGAATATAGAGGAGATACCGAGAATGACACCGGCATCCGGGACAGGAGAAGTGGGACTGTGCAGAGTCCATACTATACAGAATGACAGATACAGAGAATGACACCCGGCAATCCGGGACAGGAGAAATGGGACTGTGTTAGAGTCCATACATACAGAATAAAGACAGATACCCGAGAACTGACACCCCGGCATCCGGGACAGGAGAAGTGGGACTGTGCAGAGTCCATACATACAGAATAGGGACAGATACTGAGAATGACACCCGGCATCAGGACAGGAGAAGTGGGACTGTGCAGGACCATACACAGAATACAGAATGGGGACAGATACTGAGAATGGACACCCGGCATCTAGGACAGGAGAAGTGGGACTGTGCAGAGTCCATACATACAGAATAGTGGGACAATACTGAGAATGACACCTCGGCATCAGGGACAGGAGAAGTGGGACTGTGCAGAGTCCATACATACAGAATAAAGACAGATACCGAGAATGACACCCGGCATCCGGGGACAGGAGAAGTGGGACTGTGCAGAGTCCATACATACAGAATAAGAGGAGATACCGAGAATGGACACCCGGCATCCAGGACAGGAGAAATGGGACTGTGGTAGAGTCCATACATACAGAATAGGGACAGATACCGAGAATGACACCGCGCATCCAGGACAGGAGAAGTGGACTGTGCAGAGTCCATACATACAGAATGGGGACAGATACCGAGAATGACACCGGCATCCGGGACAGGAGAAGTGGGACTATGCAGAGTCCATACATACAGAATAAGAGGAGGGATACCGAGAATGACACACCCGGCATCCGGGACAGGAGAAATGGGACTGTGTAGAGTCCATACATACAGAATAAAGACAGATACCGAGAATGACACCCGGCATCCGGGACAGGAGAAGTGGGACTGTGCAGAGGCCATACATACAGAATAGGGACAGATACTGAGAATGACACCCGGCATCTAGGACAGGAGAAGTGGGACTGTGCAGAGACCATACATACAGAATAGGGACAGATACTGAGAATGACACCCCGGCATCCGGGACAGGAGAAGTGGGACTGTGCAGAGTCCATACATACAGAATAAGGACAGATACCGAGAATGACACCCGGCATCCAGGGACAAGAGTCCACCATTCTATGAGCGGTGGGGGGTCACACTCACTCAGGGTGAAGAGGATCCAGCTCGGTAGGGTCATCCTCATCTCCGGACTCAGGAGAAGTGTCAGTATGTCAGTGACAGTAGACGGTTCTTATCCCCCTCCCCCGCTGACCACGCAGTACTTCCTCCTATGAATGATGATATGTTCTCAGTCGCTCCATCAGAGGCTCAGAGAGGAAGCTGAACTCCCTCCGGCTCACCTCACTACTGACCTGATCAGGAACCGCACACCTACAGTGGGGATGGAAAGTTTGGGCACCCCAGCTAAAAATGTGTATTAATGTGCATAAAGAAGCCAAGGAAAGATGGAAAAATCTCCAAAAGGCATCAAATTACAGATTAGACATTTCTTATAATATGTCAACAAAAGTTAGATTTTATTTCCATCATTTACACTTTCAAAATAACAGAAAACAAAAAAAATGGCGTCTGCAAAAGTTTGGGCCCCCTGCAGAGTTCATATCTTGTACTGCCCCCTTTGGCAAGTATCACGGCTTGTAAACGCTTTTTTGTAGCCAGCCAAGAGTCTTTCAGTTCTTGTTTGAGGTATCTTTGCCCATTCTTCCTTACAAAAGTCTTCCAGTTCTTTGAGATTTCTGGCTGGCTGTCTGTCACGCACGGCTCTTTTAAGGTCTATCCATAGAATTTTCAATGATGTTGAGGTCAGGAGATTTGTGAAGGCCATGGCAAAACCTTCAGTTTACGCCTCTTGATGTAATCCCCCGTGGATTTCCAGGTGTGTTTAGGATCATTATCCATTTGTAGAAGCCATCTCTCTTTAACTTCAGCTTTTTCACAGATGGCATCAGTTACCATCCAAAATTTGCTGAAATTTTATTGAATCCATTTTTCCTTCTACTCGTGAGATGTTCCCTGTGCCACTGGCTGCAACACAACCCCAAAGCATGGTTGATCCAACCCCCATGCTTCACAGTTGGACAGAGGTTCTTTTCATTAAATTCTGTGCCCCTTCTTCTCCAAAACGTACCTTTGCTCATTCCGGTCAAAAAGTTCAATTTTAGTCTCCTCATCGGTCCACAGAACTTGTTTCCAAAATGCATCAGGTTGTCTAGATGTTCATTTGCAAAGTTCAAACGATGATTTTTGTGGTGAGGACGTAGAAGAGGTTTTCTTCTGATGACTCTTCCATGAAGCCCATATTTGTACAAGTATCTCTTTATAGTGGAATAGTGACCACAACTCCAGTGTCTGCCAGATCTTTCTGGAGGGATCGTGCAGTCAAACGTGGGTTTTGAATTGTTTTTCTCACAATCCTGCGAGCTGTTCTGTCTGATATTTTTCTTGGTCTTCCAGATCTTGCTTTAACTTCCACTGTTCCTGATGACTGCCATTTCTTAATGACATTCCGAACAGAGGATATTGACATCTGAAAACGCTTTGCTATCTTCTTATAGCCTTCTCCAGCTTTGTGAGCGTCAACTATTTTCAGTTTCAGTTTTCTAGACAACTGCTTAGAAGAACCCATGGTGCTGATTGTTGGGGCAAGGTCAGATGAGTCGGGGCATTTAAAACCTTTGAGATTGACATCACCTGGTCTTCCCAGACGATGATTGAGAACAATCCATGACACTGGCAGGTCTCAGCTTGGCAAAGGGGGCAGTGCATGCTATAAATTCTGCAGGGTGCCCAAACTTTTGCAGACGCCATTTTTTTGTTTTCTGTTATTTTTGAAAGTGTAAATGATGGAAATAAAATCTAACTTTTGTTGACATATTATAGGAATGTCTAATCTGTAATTTGATGCCCTTTTGGAGATTTTTCCATCTTTCCTTGGCTTCTTTATGCACATTAATACACATTTTTAGCTGGGGGCCCCAAACTTTCCATCCCCCACTGTACCTGTCCCAGCCGAGTTCTACAAGGTCCGCATTCTGTGCTTGCAGGTCAGGTCCAGCAGGGGTCACTCCAAAACACCTGACCCCCTTCACACCAGGGTCCTGAGGAACAGGACATGTGGTCAAGATGGGGAAACCTAAACATCACCACCGCCAGGCTGGCCATCCCTTCTCCTGTATAGACCACCCTACAGTCCACCAGTACCAGTCTATATACTTACTCCCCAGGTACAGACCACCCTACAATCCACCAGAACCAGTCTATATATACCACTCCCCAGGTATAGACCACCCTACAATCCACCAGAACCAGTCTATATACCACTCCCCAGGTACAGACCACCCTACAATCCACCAGAACCAGTCTATATACCACTCCCCAGGTATAGACCACCCTACAATCCACCAGAACCAGTCTATATACCACTCCCCAGGTATAGACCACCCTACAATCCACCAGAACCAGTCTATATACCACTCCCCAGGTATAGACCACCCTACAATCCACCAGAACCAGTCTATATACCACTCCCCAGGGTACAGACCACCCTACAATCCACCAGAACCAGTCTATATACCACTCCCCAGGTATAGACCACCCTACAATCCACCAGAACCAGTCTATATACCACTCCCCAGGTATAGACCACCCTACAGTCCACCAGAACCAGTCTATATACCACTCCCCAGGTATAGACCACCCTACATATCCCCAGGTATAGACCACCCAGGTACAGACACCCTACAATCCACCAGAACCAGTCTATACCAGTCTATATACCACTCCCCAGGTATAGACCACCCTACAATCCACCAGAACCAGTCTATATACCACTCCCCAGGTATAGACCACCCTACAATCCACCAGAACCAGTCTATATACCACTCCCCAGGTATAGACCACCCACAATCCCCAGGTCCTATATACATTACTCCTACAGTCCACCCTACAATCCACCAGAACCAGTCTATATACCACTCCCCAGGTATAGATCCACCAGAACCAGTCTACAATCCTACAATCCAGAACCAGTCAGGTATATATACCACTCCCCAGGTATAGACTCCCCTACAATCCACCAGAACCAGTCTATATACCACTCCCCAGGTATAGACCACCCTACAATCCACCAGAACCAGTCTATATACCACTCCCCAGGTATAGACCCCCTACAATCCACCAGAACCAGTCTATATACCACTCCCCAGGTATAGACCACCCTACAATCCACCAGAACCAGTCTATATACCACTCCCCAGGTATAGACCACCCTACAATCCACCAGAACCAGTCTATCCACCAGAACCAGTCTATAGTACCCACTCCCCAATCCACCAGAACCAGGGTATAGACCCCCCTACCCCTACTCCCCAGTATTAGACCCCCTACAATCCACCAGAACCAGTCTATATACCACTCCCCAGTATAGACCCCCTACAATCCACCAGAACCAGTCTATATATACCACTACCTATCCCCCAGGTAGACCACCCTATAACCCTACAATCCACCAGAACCAGAACCAGTATAGACCCCCTATATCACCAGAACCAGTCTATATACCACTCCCCGAGTATAGACCCCCTACAATCCAGCAGAACCAGTCTATATACCACTCCCCAGGTATAGACCACCCTACAATCCACCAGAACCAGTCTATATACCATAGGTATAGACCACTACAATCCACCAGAACCAGTCTACCACCACTCCCCAGGTAGACCCACCCACCAGAACCAGTCTATATACCACTCCCCAGGTATAGACCACCCTACAATCCACCAGAACCAGTCTATATACCACTCCCCAGGTATAGACCACCCTACAACAATCCAGAACCAGTCTATATACCAGTCAGGTATATATCCACCAGAACCAGTCTATATACTTACTCTCCAGCTATCGGCTGCCCTACAATCCAGTGGAACCAGTCTATATACCACTCACCAGGTATAGACCACCCTACAATCCACCAGAACCAGTCTATATACCACTCCCCAGGTAGACCACCCTACAATCCACCAGAACCAGTCTATATACTTACTCTCCAGCTATCGGCTGCCCTACAATCCAGTGGAACCAGTATGTATAACGACTTGCTGGGTATAGAGCACCCTCCAATCCACTGTATGTACTCACTCCCCAGTACAGGACCCCCTTACAATCCACTGTATGTACTCACTCCCCAGTACAGGACCCCCTCCAATCCACTGTATGTACTTACTCCCCAATACA